TTCGCCATTGTTTTTTTGAACAAATAAAATACATTTAAACACACACACACATATATATAATTTTTTAATTCAAAACATATAGCTACAATCTGAATTAATATAAAAAATAAAAATATAAATTATTTACATTTTAATTAGAAAGTAAAAAATAAAGTACATTAATGTGTATAAAATATCATGAATAAAATATGAATAAATTGAAGCATTTTATATCCAAAAGTAAATAGGATCAAGCCACCAGTTTTGAACAGTTCTAGTACATTTTAGTTCCATACTTCTGTCAAGTGCATCAAAATAACTTACAATGAATTATGTAGTATTAAACTAAACAGATCTACAATAGTAATGAATAGAATTTGAACTGACTCTATATTTTTTAAGGTCCAGTACATTGTAAAGTTAGAATCTTTTTATGATGGTGATGGCCAAGTATACAAAGTGCATGGCCTAAGCATGGATCCTATGAAAATGCAAGATTGCACATCCCTGAAGTTCAATAAGTAGACTGCATTAGTAAAATTTGAACTGGTAATAATAATTAACACTGCAAACTGATACAAATAATAAAAATAGCCAAGAATAGAGAATAATAAAGAAACAAGAGTTCTTTCATTCTCTGCATACATTGGTGCAAATAACTCATGATGATGATGAATATGAGATAATGATAACAGCATAACAGTCATTTTAAGATAAACACTTTTAAAAATGTTCATAAATGTCCATTTTGACTACTTATAACCATATAAATGCCAGTAATAGCTACATAGATGACCATTTTTGTCCATCTGTATGGCCATTCATAATAATAATATATATAATAAAAGTGACCAAAACTGATAGCTTGACCCTGCGTATATATTTTTGGAATTAAAATAATGTTTTTACTTCTCATAAATAAACTCTATCATTATAATAACAAGAAAATATGTTTACAAACTTTATAAATTGAATTTAAAAATCATTATAATTTTTCTGCTGTTTTTATTTGTTTTTTTCATATCTAGTTTTTCTTCTTTATAAATTATTTACAACAGAAAACATTTTTATATGCATGCCTTCACATAATAGTTCATTAATTCTGTTTGATAGAGCAAAACAGTATTTTTATTGATCTGTTGATGGAACAACAACTGGACGGAATATTTACTATCCAATTTAATAAAAATCCATTAGTGGGACTTTATAAAAAACATTATTTTCTTAATGCCAAACATTCAAATAAATTGATTTTATAACATTATACTTTGTATATATATATGTTTGAGATTCCTACACACTTAAAAAAAATGCATATTTCCTTTATGATTCTCTAAAGTGGCTAAAAATAAAAATATTTTTAAAAAATATTAAAAAATGATAGAGACTAATTTGTCTTTTAACATTTTTTCCTGTTTTTTTCAACAAATTGGACGGTTTATATATATTTTAATACTGTTACTGAGCACATTCATGGATATAGAATATCAAAATGAGGTATTTGAAGATCTTGAAGGATCTGATATTGTGAAATGACACATAACAGACAATAAACCTATAAAAGAAAATGGATATTAAGTGATTATTTTATAATATTTCAAAACAATTTTACATGTAAATTAATTAAACTTACATGTATACCATCCAGGCACCAGATAATGCATGTTGCCAATATAGAGTAGGGCTGTAAAATATAATATATTTTCAAGAAAAATATATTTTTAATTAATTATGTGTGTTAATTAGTTAAAAAAATCACTAAAATAAGTACAATTTATAAAAATTTTTATAGATAAACATAAAGTTTTTTGCTGAATTCTACCTACAACCAGTTATTAACTGGTGGGTAAGTATATAGAATAATAACTAACCGAAATAATTTATGTACTTTTATAATTTACTTTAAGGTATATAAATTACTTTTAAAGACCTTAACTTTAAAATAATTTATGTACCTTTACATAGATTATTTTGTAGTTTTATATAATTTGTAATGCTTATAAAAGTATATAAATTTTATATTATACATTAACTTTTTAAAGAATTAAGAACTATTTATATGAATATTTAAGCAATTTTTTTTTTATTTATGAAGTTTTAAATATATTAAAACTGTTTCTTGAATAGCTATTGAGTTTAATATTTTAAGTATAAGTAGCAAAGANAGATGACCATTTTTGTCCATCTGTATGGCCATTCATAATAATAATATATATAATAAAAGTGACCAAAACTGATAGCTTGACCCTGCGTATATATTTTGGAATTAAAATAATGTTTTTACTTCTCATAAATAAACTCTATCATTATAATAACAAGAAAATATGTTTACAAACTTTATAAATTGAATTTAAAAATCATTATAATTTTTCTGCTGTTTTTATTTGTTTTTTTTCATATCTAGTTTTTCTTCTTTATAAATTATTTACAACAGAAAACATTTTTATATGCATGCCTTCACATAATAGTTCATTAATTCTGTTTGATAGAGCAAAACAGTATTTTTATTGATCTGTTGATGGAACAACAACTGGACGGAATATTTACTATCCAATTTAATAAAAATCCATTAGTGGGACTTTATAAAAAACATTATTTTCTTAATGCCAAACATTCAAATAAATTGATTTTATAACATTATACTTTGTATATATATATGTTTGAGATTCCTACACACTTAAAAAAAATGCATATTTCCTTTATGATTCTCTAAAGTGGCTAAAAATAAAAATATTTTTAAAAAATATTAAAAAATTTGAATTTTTTAAATCTTAAATTGATTATACAAGTTAAATAAATTATTATTATTATTTTTTAAATGTATGTTTAAATATATTCTTCTATAAATATTAATCAAAGGAGCCTTTTATATAAGAAAATCATTTAAGTAATTGCATTTTTCTTTTTCTTCTTTCATTTCACGTATTATTTTCTTTGGCGAGAATTAACTTGTGTTTTTTTAATACTATCTTCATAGATATGATTATGTAAGTTTTAGGCAGCTGCTTCTTTCTAACGTATTCTTAACACGTGCTAATCTTCCCCCCTCCTTTGATAATGAAAGAATACTTTGTACCGTATAAATAAACCTTATGCATCATAATTCTTTCTAAAATTAATTATTTTAAAATTAAAATTCCCGTGAAACAAATCAATTACAATCGTTAACAATTGACAATATTATTCTCGTGTCCCAATAGTTAGTTAACCGAAATGTTAAAACAAATTTACCGACTCGGTTAACTGACTTTTAGGTCGCTGTGTCTTCATAAACGTCTTCTTAAAAATAATTCTTTTAAAATTAAATTAACACGTGTCATTTACAATTAAATAATTATAGAGGGTGGCCCAAAAGTCAGTTAACCGAGATGCTAAAAAAATTTCTGTCGACTCGGTTAACTGACTTTTAGGTCGCTTTATGTCTTAATGAACTTGTTTTAGAATTACATTAAGGCGTGTGAGACGAATTAATTACAATTATTTCTCGTTTAAAACGTCATTTACAATTATAACAATCATAGAGGGTGGCCCAAAAGTCAGTTAACCGAACCAAATGACTTTTTAAACGTTTCGGTTAATTAACTGACTCTTGATCCATTCTTTCTGTACACTTACCATATTATCATTATTAAATAATTAAATATATATAAGTATATTACTCATATTCTGTAAATATTACACAATATTTTGCAACAAATGGTATGTAAATAAATGGGAAGAAACAGCTTTATCATGTCAAATGAATAAATTATCTAAATAATTTATCACATTTAACTGTAACTATTCATAATATATTTAATTACAATTTAAGTAAAGCTGTTAAAATTGTTAAGTGTCGTCTTAAACAAGTTCTATAAATAGTAATGGGAGGGGTAAAATCAAATTTTAAAAAATTGTTTACAATTTGTTATAACAATAGTTTAACCTTGGAACATAAAAAAAAAATACAATTAAACCTCTGAACAACGGCCACTGACGGAAACATAAAAAAAAAATTGGCCGTTATTTGTAGGTTATTTTTTCTTTAACGTTCCCCAGAAAGGTGGCCGCCGTATAGAGGTGGTCGTTATTGGAGATTCGACTGTATTTATATACATTTTAACGAATGTTTTGGATGTTTTGGATAGAGATTCGCTCTTTATTACAGTGTGTAATTTAATTAAATTTAATAAATTTTGTGCTAATTATAATCTAAAATAGACATTAAACTATCAAATTTAACGTTTATAAATGTTTAATTTAACGTTTAAATATATTTAAATAATATATTTTTGTTAGGGTATGACTCTCCTAAATCGATTTACTATATACAGTAGTTCGCTGGTGTCTTTAAATGTTTCACGTGTTTTTACAGGATTTTTGGCCAATGGCCAAAAAAATTTTCCTTATCCAGAAAACTGTAGACTAGAAACATTTTAAGAATGATAAGATTAGATAAAAACAGTGTAAATTATATACTTTTAGTACCCTCTAATACACAAAAGTTATCAATAACTTATCATAAAAATCAAAAGAAATGCCTTCTTTAGTGTACAAAAAGAATAAATAATATATATATATTTTACTAAAATAAATGATAAATATTATTTAAATTTAATAAATAAATCTGTTTTAATTTTATAACAACTACAATTGCATAAAAATTTAGTCACATGGTTTGATTTATTCATGAAATTTATGCTAATGTCATTGAAACCAGGTCAAGGATCATAAGAGGTGATACTAGATCATATCTTCTTCTATAAAAGAATATACAGATTTATATACTTTTTAGATTTAATTCTTTAAAAAATGTTGTAAAATCTGTGGAATTTCAATAAAATAATCAAGAGTTATTGATGTGTAAAGTATCTTGTGTCCCCTCAAGGTTTGTACTTATAATTATTGATATATTATCTAAAATTACATAATTTATCTTTATAAAGTGATTAGTAAATGCAAAATTTTGCAGGAGAAGCTTTATAGGATAGTTATTCATTGAAAGATATTGAGGTTATAATGCAAGATATAGTTATAAAAAGTTATTTCTTTTTTAATATTAATTATGCCAGAGGTCTATTTTACAAGTTAATCTAGTCATTATTCAATGTTAAAGGTTTCTATGAAGGTTATAGAGATAAGAAAGTGGAAGTTTTAGTTATTATTTATGAGTTTCATCAAAATATTGAATAAATAATTAATTAAATTAAATTTTTAACTTACTTTTTTAATCCCATAAACTAATAATATAATTGTACTCATAAATATTGCACTGAATATAATGGTAAACCATCCAGCAATCATTGTTCCTGTAAATAAAGAGAAAATTATTTTTTAAATTAATTTTTATTTATTAAATATATTCATTTATGGTATTACAATTAACTTCTTATATCAAATTTATTTATATATACACATATATATATTTTCATTATCAATTCTTATAAGTCCGGATGTATTCGTTCCTGTTTATGTTACAATAAGAAATGTTCAACTATTATTCTTATTTTTCATTCTCTGTATATATATATATATATATATATTATATAAATATGCTACAAAAAGTCTAAAATATAAAATTTTCATACTTCTTGCTATAAAAACATGTCAAGATAATAAAGAAATTCTTATATTTTATGCTATAAAATGCATTCTAGAATATGAATATTTTCACATTTTACGCTATAAAAATAACATTATATGTGTAATTTTTACATTTTAAGCTGTAAAATACACCATAAAACATGAAATTTTCATAGTCAAAGCTATAAAAGCGATCTACCATATGAAATTTTCACAGAGATTAATAAAAAAGATGAAATTTTTACACTTCATGCTATAAAAATCGATTTAATATATGAAATTTTCGCACTTAATTCTACAAAAACTAATAGATTAACGTTTCATATCGCAAAAAATAACATCAATAAAGCAATAACAAATGAATTCTTAAAAAAAACAACTCGAAATGTTTTGTATTGTCTTTTATAGCATATGATATTAAATATTTTAATATTTAATCTATAAAAAATAAATATACATATATAAAAATTTAGCATCCTACCTTATAAAAAAGCAGCTTTTGATTAATATCCTAATGCTAAATTAATACTAAATTATGTTTACAGTATAGACTTATGGCCTTGTAGTATATACAGAGTTACTATACAGCACAGTATCGTTATAAATTAATATATAAAAAATTAATAAATAAATTCACTTAAAAGTTATATAAAAAGTTCATAAACTTGTTCAAATTTTGATAAACTTTATCATTTAACAATAAAAAAAAGATAGATTATCATCTCTGAATGATTATTTCATGAATTTTTTTTATCAGTAATACTTTTTAATATTATTAAATAGAATTGAATTAAGTTAATTTAATGCTTCAACTGATTTAATGTTAAATTAGATATATTGTAGAATATTTAATATACACAGTTAAATACATTTATATAAGATGTATCAAATTTCAGCACTGTACACTGAAGATATATCATGTATAATTGTAATTATTACTTCATATATTGTTTAATATTTCAAGCTTTAATATATTGACTATTATATGCTTTATATCAAGTTTACAATAATAGTTTACTCGGTTGATAGTCTACACTTTACAAACTATGCACCTTGAAACGATTATTAACAGTATATAAGATAATGGTATATATAAAGTAATAGTATATATTATTTAATAGTATATAAGACGATTAAAAATGCTTAATTTTGTGGGTAGAGATGAGTTTTATAAAAAGTTATAAATGCTAATAACGTGTAACATTTTCATTAAGTTCAATTCTACTGAAGATATGACACATGACCCCCTCTATTTCCCCATCCCCTTGATCTCTAACTACCAAAATTTAATAGCATCAATCCCACTAATATACA